TCAAGTCGGTCAGCAGTATCTTTTTTTCAGTCTGCCATGCGGGCAGCTCGGGCATCATTGTGGCTGCTGCTGCGGGAGTTGGTCTGTGGGTTTTTTTTTTCGTCACTTATGCATTTTTCATGGGACGAATCTGCCGAGCGACTCCTTCGACTTGCACTGGAGTGACAGGCGCCGCAGGCGCAGGCGAAGGCGAAGGCGCATTGCAAATTGTCAAACTCAAAACCGTTATGTGATGGGGGTACACAGAGAAAGTCCAGCCAAAGCGTTGGCGGCGTTGCGATTTATTGTGAAATATTGAAATTACACAAGTGATGCGCCCCTTCTCCTCCGCCAGTCGCATCTGCATTTTGTGCAGCCAAAAAAAGGAAACCAAACCGAGCCACGTCCCTCTGCGGTTATCGCCATGACAGCTGTCAATCCCCGACTGATGAGCTGCGGGTCCACGTAAATCGTGAAAGTTTTTTCTTTTATGCTGCGACAAAGTTTTTTGCAAGCAACAGTTTAATTGCGGCAAAGCTTCAATTAGCAGGACAAGTGATTTTATAGCGCCCTCATCATCGGCTGCCTAAATTAGCCAGCAAAAGGTAAAATCAAAAGGTCCTCTGTCGCCCAGAAATTAAATGTCCATAAATGGACAGCAAGCAGCGGACAATTGCTTTATTTGTGCACTCAATTTATGCTGATTTATGGCCAATGCAGTTGCATCCTCCACAGCCACCAAATGTTAATTGCACTAAAATGCAGATTTTCCATATACAATTTGGAGGTCCAGTTTGGGCGGTGCCGCGGTGGGCAGACCTTGACTGTCGACCGGCAAAAGATAAACAGCGACAGTTTGGGCTCTTTTTTTTTGTACCAATAAAGTGGGTGGAGGGTGCCCTGTTGCCTTGTCTGCCAAAACTCATTAAAACGAATCTTTTTTAATGGCCAAAAGTTTTGCCTGGTTGCCTGCCATAATCAGTAAAATTAAGGCCATGGCAGCTGAAAACTGTATTGCCTGCCCCGCCGAACAGCCTGCCAATGTCGTTAGTGACCCACCAAGCAAAGAAAAAAAAAATAGCTATAAAGAGCCGACACTGCCAGGACAGCTAACAAAAAGAGGAGCTTGAAAAACTATACAGCTGATTTGGTATTGATTACTTTGCAGCCTTTTGTTGTTAATGAATAGAGGAAGTGTCTTGACAGGCAGCTTTTGTGAGCGTCGACTTAAGATAAATAATTAAAATGCAGGCTTAGGCCTGGAAGGGATAATTTTCTATCTCATTTTCAATGTTTAAAAGCTGAATGAGATTTTCGATTTGATGCTTGGAATTGGTTGTCCGACTTGTGTAATATTTTATACATTTATTTCTAAGGCCATTGATTATTACATTTGCATTTGCCAATTTACATTTTTCATCTGTCAAACTGCCTAAATAGTTCGCCTTGGATTGGTCCGGAAATGCTGCTTGCTTGCAACTTATTTTTGTGTTTTTTGTGGGCTATTTTTGTGCACAAATCTACAGCTAGTCGCATAATCATTGACAACTTCACATACACAAACGCTGAGCTTAAAGGATCTGTCTGTAAGACAACAACTTGTGTGTCAAGGAACAACTTACAACTTACTTAGATCAACTGCTTACAACTGCAGCAAAGAGTGTGGCACTGACAGTGTCTGACAGTGGCTGTAGAACAAACCCCCGACACATAACCCCCCGATAGCTAACGCAGACATTGCCCTGGCCATGTCACACTCCAAAAAGGCCGAAAAGTCAGTCCCGTCCAGACAGCAGCCATCCCCACCATAAACGTGCGGAAACTAAACTCTTTGCAGAGTGTTTGACTTCTTGTAGCTGCCGCATGCCTCGTGCCCCATGGACCATCCTCAATGCTGCTGCTGCTGCTGCACGTGGCCATCATGCTGCACTCTTGTGTTGCACTAATTACGAAAACTCAGCACGTTATTGGCATGGCACGGCACCGGCCTGGTCTGGTCTGGTCTGGATTGGATTGGGTTTGGGTCTGAACCGCTGGCTGCCCGAGTGGTTAAATGATACGCTGCAACGCGACAGTTGCCTGCACCCGGGGGAGTAGCTGCAACAGCAACGGCAACAGTGGCAGGCACGGGCGGCACTCGCACAAAAGTTAAAAACATTGCGGCAAGCAATAAAATCAACATTGGTCTCGGTTTTGGCTTTGACTCTCAGTCCCCAGGATACTCCCAGTGCTGCTCTTAGCTGGGCCGTGCTGGAGGGGCCATGACGGGAGGGGGGGGGAGTCAACTATGTAACTGTATTACTGATGAGCTCCAAAATTGTGCCTGGCCTGCCACAATTTGACCAAACTCAATGTCTGAGGTTACTGCAGCCTGGGCCGAAGCCGCGGGTAATGGCTAAAAATTACATTTTCCGACCCCACATTTTTGCAGCCCCATTTGTGCCCCTTTTTGCTGCCATTTTGTGCCCCTTTTGCCGCTCATTTTGCACTTGGTTTGTCTCCTTTTGCCACCCATTTTGCTCCTGTTTTGTCCTCTTTTGGCCACCCATGTTGTGGCTGATGGATGAAATAATTAGAAGCGAAATTTAGTTTTCAAAATGAAGATTAAATGGAAATATTGTCAAAGGATTTTTATTTGATGAGTACAGCAAAGGAATCGATTTCAAAAATAGAATTTGACTTATAAAAAGAAGGCTGAAAAATGCTTTGAATATTGGAAAACCATTGGCTATCTTTCCCTAGAAAATGCATTAAATTTTGCTATAAAAAACCTCTCAAAAAATCGTACATGTTCCAGCTAAATTTTTAAACTAAATCTGTAAAATCTCAACACCCCTATAGGGTTTGTTTTCAACTGCTAACCATTTGCCCCAGCTCTGATCAACCATGGTACATATTTGCAATCTTTGCGAGGCTATAAAAATAAATTACACACAGCTTAAAACTTATGTGAAGTGTGCAAGAAAAATGGCTTATAGACGCGCGCTTAATGCAACCCCAAAAAAGAAAGAAGCCAGGAAGAAACAGGCCACGAAACGACAAAATGACCTCAAGCCCAAAAGTAGGAAAAGCAGTCCAAAAGCAGGGCAAGCAGGGCAAGCAGTGCGGAGTGATGAACGTTATGGCTGTTCGAAGTGATTCATGCACACTCACACACAGCATCATCCACCCACAAAAGGGAGCGCACCGGTAAAGGTAAAGCTTGTAGCCGACAATGAAGACATTAACATGACCAACGACAAAACTCTCCCTGTGTGTGTGCCCCACAGCTCATCACATTAATCTTCCTAATACGCCCATCAATAATTCAAAGCCAAAGGCATGACCAAAGCCGAACAGCAGCAATCTTTAGTCGAAACCGAACAATCGACCAGTGACCAGTGGTGACCACTGACCAGTGACCAAGTGAAGAAGTCGCTACAGACACGCAACCCGCACTCTCCGCTCTCCGCTCTCCCCCCTCCGCCTATCAAGTCACGTCAACGAAACGAACTCGAAGCTCAGCAAAGTGCTGAGTGAATTATGACGCACTCTGCTCAGCGCTCTCTCTCGCTCTCTTTCGCTCGTCTCTGCAGTGGCAGTGGCAGAGGTGGGGGGAAACAGTTTGTCGTACATCAAATATCGAAACTATAACACACGAAATACTCGCATTGAACTCTCGTGCATGGGCCTGACAATGAAGCTTTATGGCTCGTTAGCATTTGATTTATGCGCACGGGAAATTCCCCGAAGAAAAAACTTAGGAAAAAACATTGAGAGCCAAACATATAAATAGTTTAATGTTGATTAAAGGCTGTGATTACGGCAAAACAGCAGTGCTTAACACTAAGAACATAATTTCAGTCATTTAAATAAAATAATAAAAACAATACCACAAATATTGTTAATCAGCTAAAGCCGGGTAGTAGAAAAATAATTAAAATTTAAGCAATAAAGTTACTAGATAGTGAAACCTTTCTTTTACATGTTTTTTTTAAACAAATATTAAAGCTTTTGATGTACTTTTTAGTTGCCAAAAGACAGGAAGAATCATAAAGCATTTCTTAGAATTTTCAAGCGCTTCCTAAATTGCTTTTCTGCCTGAAAAATAATTCGAATACAATTCATTAAAAGTACTCTAATCACCTTAAACCTTCTTATCACTTGTTTTTTTAAAGCCTTTGATCTAATTTTTAGCTTCCCAAACACAGGAATTTATTTACTAAGAAATTCTACAACTTTTTAGCTCCACAAATATGTAAGAAGGTTCCTAAATTGTGCATAAAAAGATAACTAAATATTCAATATCTCTGCAACTTTTTCTTGCTAAAAAAACCTTTGATACAATTTCTTGGATATTTTTAACCAAAATTTTGTTATATTTTCTGTAAATAAATACGCATAAATCTGCTTAAACTCTGCCGCTCTCCCCGTTCATTCAACCCCTCTAAAATCAATAAATTTCAGAGCACTTTGCCGCCACATTTCACATCTTGTTGCAGCCAACGTAAGTGTATAGCGAAACGTACGCGTAATTGTATCTGAATGACACATGCTGGACACACAAAAGCGTAGAAGAGCGGCAACCATGTGTCCCTGTCCACCGTGCCCATTGTGTCCACTTGCGAGTGACAGGACGCCAGCCAGATCAGTTGAAGGCAATGGCGCGGCGCTCTCAATGCTTGGGTCCTTTGTTAGGGCCGGACCAGGGTCGAACAATGACAAAAGTGCTCCTTGGGCTCCAGCTACACCTACAATTTCACCTGTTCCCCTTGACAATTTGCTGTCAGTGTGCTACATTCGGAATATTTCGTTGCCATCGACATTGTCAACGCAGAATTTTTGCCGCCTACTCCAACGCCAAGCTCCATGCAAATGCCTTTTGTTGTGCTGCTCCCCTGTGGATTGGTGGCAGATGCCTCCAGAGTCGCTGAAGCTGAAGCTGAAGCTGCTGCTGATGAAGATAGACACATCTGCCAAGCCTTCCATAAAACAGTTCTGGTTGCTGCCTTATCAATAAAGCTCAAGTGCCGCTAATTGTGTCAAAGGTTGGAGCGCGTGGCTGTGCGATAAAGATTTTCGGATGTGATGTGTGTCTTTTCGGCAGCTATAAAAGAGGCAGACAGCTGCCGAAATATTCTAGTTTACTCCAAAAGAAAGCGAAGACAACTAAGTAAGTGCACAAAGGAAACAGCAAACAGAAAGCTAATCGGGGAAAGAGCTCAAAACTCAGAGTCAGCTGTTCAGAGTTCGTTCTTTTTTTCACACTAAATAAGATTACTAATCACTGATTGAATGCATGTTTTTGTTTGTTTATTTTCTTGACAGTTTCAACATGAACTTCTCCTGGCTCGCCGTCTTCATTCTGGCCATTGTTGCTGTGGCTGTTTCGGCCAATTCTCAGTGCCCTGTGCCGTTCAAGAAGGATGGACCCAAGTGCGTTACCGATCGCACCATCCGCGGCGAGTGCCCACACAATTCCCAGTACAGTGCCAACATCAACAAGTGTGTGTACAAGTCCTAAACAACATTAAATAACAACTAATCTGACAAATCGCAAATCAACAAATAAAAAATACACAAAAAATAAGAAAACAAATCTGTGTCTGTGTTATCAATGTGTCAGAGATGTGAACTACAAGTGGGCCGAGGTCAGTGTGTCTGTGTAATCGGCCGCTGTCTATATAAGATCCGTTTCAGCTGCACTCCCACAGATAGTTGCATTTTCAGTTGCGTCTGAGGTGAGTCCAGTCTGAGGTGTTTGCGGCTGAAGTGGCGCGCTAAAGTGTTTTTCTTCGTTGTGCAGGAACAATCAATCGGAAGCAATCATTTATCCCATCCATCCATCCATCATGCTGTTGAAATGCACTTGGCTAATGCTGTTGCTGTTGTCGCTGTGCGCCGGTGCCTGGGCCAGCAGCTGTCCCTCGGGCTTCAGCGCCGAGAGTGATCGTTGTGTCAAGGAGCGACCCATCCATGGCACCTGTCCGCCCGGCTCCACTTTCATGCTGAACATCAACAAGTGTGTGCACGCTTAAGGCTGGAATTTAAACAATTGTCTTTAATGAATTTAAAAGTGCATAAATTTGGTTTCATTTGGATTTAATTTTGGCAGTTTTCAGTGTCTTTGTTGTGTTCAACTTTTACCTTTAAGTCGCTGCCGAAGCCTAACTTTTGGCCAATTATATTTGGCTTGGGAAGTTCAGCAAGTGTTAAAGATCAAATGCTGCACGCTGTTGGGTTGATGATGACGGGCACGTTGGCCATTAGTTTATTACCATGTAATTGACTCAACGCTTGTCAGTCATCAACGCTGACGCTGGCTCCTGCGGCTTTAATGTGCTGAAAAGCGGCGCCACAACAACGACGACGACAGTCCCCATCAAAGTCAAGGCGTTTTGTCTGTCCCACTGCTGTCCGTGCTGACGTGATTAGCCTCTGCACCTTCGTCTTATCATGGCCTGACCATACGCTAGAGTTTCGTAAGCTCAAATCGGGAATTGAATCGTCTCACACGGCCTGCTATAAAATTCATTAAAAACTTTGCCGGACCACCGCAAAAAAAAAGATAGCCCAAAAACGAATATATAGATGTCGGCTAAGGGGATGGAAATAAAAACGAAGAAAACATTTAACAGTGCAAAAACTTTGGCAAGTCCAAGCTGTCGACAGGATGTGCAGCAAACCCAATTGCATATGCCAATGTTGCAAAGTTTTCCAACTCCAGGAAAATGTCCCACGCCAAAGCACAACAGTGATGGCAAATTAAGAGCAGCTTGAAGTGCATGTTAAAGTGCATGTTTTAAAATTATAAATGGAATATTTAGTTTTACATGAAGAATGGCTAAAAGTTGTTCTTTAGTTGCTGATGGAAATATTGAGAATTGTTTGAGCTGCAGAAAAATCAAAGAACTATGGAAAATTGTATCCTATTTTAATATAGCTTCAATGCTGTTACAGATATATATTTTTTTTACATAAGCAATGGCAAGATATTTGTGTTCAAAGTTGACAGAATTATAGGCAAATATTTTAACTACAGAAAATGCAAAGATCTGTGCAAAAATTAATCAAAAGTTTAGGCTTAGCTTAAATTCCGCTAAAAATCTAGATTTAATGTCAGCTATTTTATGGCAAAGAAAACGCCAAACTGTCAGCACTGTCTGGTGGGTAGCGTCCATAAACTAAACGTCCTTGTCACTGGGGCTTGTAAATTTCTATGACTTGCATAAAAAAGGGCTCCCCAGAACGCCTTCCGCTGCTCTGGGTTTCCTTTTTCGGTCTAAAAGTTTCCTGTCGCAAAAGTCGGCCAGCGGACAGCGGACAGCGGACAGGGCAGGAAATAAGGAAATGTTTTCAGTCGTATTTGCTGCCTTAGCAGCGACATTTATCAGTCAGTTGTTGCAATGTCCATTGGGGGTAGGTGGCAGGTTGCTGTCGGGGCTGTCTGCCGTGGTGCTGCCTTGTTGGACAATTTTCAAAAGGAGTCTCAAGTGGCTGCCTACTGCCTGCTGCCGCAAGAAGCCTTGCAGCTGACAGCAATCGTTGCAGTTTGTTGCAGCAGCCACATGGTGGCTGGTCCATGTACAAGTATTTGGGGTCTTGGTCGGGGCTCTCTGTGTGGCTCTCTGGCAACGGCAAAGTTCTGGCCGTTGCTTCTGCAAACTCACGCGTAAATATGATGAACGTAAGCAGTAAAGTTCTGGCCAACTGATAGCCAAACGTTCCTGCTTGGCCATCTTATAAACACAAGCTGGCCCTAAAAAAACTTTACCCCAGGTCGGACCAAGGGAATGGAACGCACGGTGGACGGTGGACGGTGGACGCTGGACGGACGGTCTTCTCTTGTGACGGCTCAACTTTATGGAGGCCACATAGTTGCGGCTTGGCTGCATTTCAAGAATACTGTTCACCCTCCGTTTTTCCTTATCTCGTTTGGGGCATTGTCCTGACCATTCTGGACCACCACAATTCCTCACCAGCTAAAAATGAAAGTGTGGCCATAATTTTTGCACTGCACTGCACTGCCCTGCATAGCCCTTGTGTGTGTTGCTGTTGTGTCCGTCCGGGTTACTCGGCTTGGGCCCAAAAACTTTTCCGTTATTGATGCTGCTGACTCAAACCAGAGTGCTGACGAGGCTCACCAAAGGCGCTCGGAGGCTACTTTCAAAATAGTTTAAATGTACACTTAAAAGATTTTTATGACGTCAACGGCTCCGTAATTGTTCGGCGTATGGAGTGATAATGGATGCGGGCAGAGAGAGAGAGAGAGAGAGAGAGAAAGCGAGAGAGGCAACTGTAATTACATCTTGGAGTACTTACACTGTCATGCAAATTCTTGGGGCTGCTCTTTACGTGAGAGATTTTAATTATTGTGGTTGAAATTACAAGCAGAGCTGTCTGTGGAGCGACAGCCACTTCAACATTGAGAGCAGCGGAGGCGGCAATAGCAAGTCGGAAATGCATACGCGTGAGTTTGCTCTCTGCTAGAATTCTCTACCTGACCCAACTGCAAGAAGAGAAGGCGAGCCAAAAGGGAATTGAGCGGCAACAGCGTCGCTACAATGCATACGAGTGGGGTTGCTACCTGCGTCGACTGCACGAAGAGAAGGTGAGCCAAAAGGGAATCGGAAGATCACGCCATGCGACGGTCGCTGTAAGCGTGAGAGCTGCAGCTGAGAGCTTTGGCTATGCTTGCGAGCTGTTACAGTTATGTTTTGTGCATAGGCGAAAACAACACAATTAGCAACATCGAAATAGGTGCTTAAGCGTTCGCATACAATGATGAGCATATGAATAGGGAAAGTTGACTTATGGGCTTATATGAAACTATACATAAGTGCGCTGGCAGCTCATTTCTCAACAGTTATTAATTGCAAGTTCGAAATTTCAGATATAATAATTAATAATCGAACATAAGCCAATCATAAATTATTCCCACCACAAACTACAACTACTACTATTGCTCGTAGGAGCAACATCTAGGAGAGAAAGTGAAAATAAAATTTCGGAAATAAAAGTAAATTTTTGAGCCGAAGTTGCCTTAGCAAAAACTTTCAGTTCGTAAATATAAAGCAAAAGTACTATTCGATTCACAAAACAAAAGCAAACAAAATAGTGGTTACTGATAAGCAATAACAAAGTGTTGTTGTTATCATGAACGACGACAAAGACGACACAACGGTTTGGAACTGGCAGAGAGTAAAATTGAAGTCAAAGGCAGTCAAGAGACAAAACCAAGTCTCTCCTATTCTACTAAAGAAAAAAATCGCTCTGGACTTAGCACCCAGAACCAGCTCCAATCAATATGCCCTCCTAAGCGACAGCACGCCAAATAACGGAAATGAAGATGAAAACGAAGCATTGGACATGATAACTGAAGATAGCTTAACTGAATCTGCCAAGCCGCCACCTATATTCTTATCTGAAGTCAGTGATATAAAAGGAATGCTAGTTTACCTCGAGACTACAATTAAAAAAGAGCTTTTCTTTTATAAAGTACAATGCGATGGTCATGTGAGAGTTATGGTAAAGTCTATTGAAGAATACAGGAAACTTGTTAAAACTCTTACTAAAGATTCTGTCAAATTTCACACATACCAACTTAAACATGAGAGGGCATTCAGAGTTGTTATTAAGAATTTGCACTTCTCAACGGATATCGAATTAATCAAACAAGATGTGGAGTCCAAAGGTCACGCTGTTAGAAACATTAGAAATATTAAAAGTCGTGTAACCAAAGAGCCATTGAATTTGTTCTACTTAGACATTGAGCCCAACAATAAGAACTTAGATATATACAAAGTTAAATTCATTGGTAACGCAGTTGTTAATATAGAACCACCCCGTAAAACTAAAGAAATCGTTCAGTGTTATCGTTGCCAGGAATTTGGACACACAAAGTCATATTGTGCCAAAACTCACAGATGTGTGAAATGCTCTCTTAACCATCCCAG